TATATACACACAATATATTATTTTAGCAAACAAACGTAAGTGACATTAGTAATAAGCTCTACTGTCATTCAAAAGGTAGACATATTTTGAGTAGAATGATTTAATGCTGACTGAAAATTTACACATTTGATCTTCATTTTAACGGAACATCAAAGTTATCATTGTTATTTTTTCCATGTACCAGTATAATTAAAATTAAATATTATCAAACTAACAAAAATACCCAATTGACCCTTTTAAAGTTACTAATACATTAACTCAGGCATCACATTCTCAAATACATTTAGCTATTTTTAGTAGGGATGCATGATATATTGATATTGATATCGGTGTCGGCCGATATTGGTCTTTTTTTTAGAATATYGGTATCGGTCCGATATATAAAACTGAGCAGATATTAACGTCTGATATTGATTTCCCACTTTGTAGCTTTGTGTTTGTGTTTGTGTTTGTGTTTTGGGAGATGTTTGGTTGAGCAGCATCTGTTTGATCATGATGGTGATATTGATGCTGCAGTCAGGAATAACTGAAGTAGAGTCATGTCAGAGGTCTGCTTGTTTATTTATGGAATCACAAAAAGACCCAAGTGTGTTTGTGTGTGTATGTATAATATAATTTGTGTGTTTATGTAATATCGGTAAATATCGGTGATCAGCCATAACTCCAATAATTATWTCGGATATCGATATCGGCTGAAATTTTCAAATCAGTGCATCCCTAATTTTTAGTATTAAAGTTTAACTCTAGTCTTGGTGGTCCTGTACACGTTTTTCTATTGACCTTTATGTACAGTCATGTAAATTAGTTTTATTTACATGTTACGTTGTGATAAAATGTCCTCAGCTTGTAATGTAATGTTGGATGTTGCAATGACCGCAGTCCAAAGCTGAAACATAAGTATAAACACTGTTTAGGCTAATTGTTTCAAACAACTGGGAGTGGGCATGAATATTAGACCACAATGCATTACAAAACACTGACACTGAGCATGCGCGTTAATGAATGTAAATTTAAAAAAAAACATAAGTCCAGATCGACATTTTCACGGATTTTTTTGTAAACCTGGCAACCCAAAATGTAAGAAATCACGCATGGACACAATCTTGTTCCGGGGTCTACCAGGGTTCACGTCACGAGCCACGAGTTTAAATCAGAGGTGACTACAACTCATCCAGTCTCTCTCCAGTAAAGTCAGAATTTATGCCCATATAATTTGGAATAAACAAATAAGAAGTGTTCTTTTGTCTGAAAACAGTTAAACTGAGTAAACTGCACTGGAAGTTAAAACAGTTTTAAGTAAATTTATTGCACACCAGGTATTGAAACAAGACAACTACAATTAATTTATAAGAGCTGTCAGAGAAAGGGCAGGAGGACCACAGCCAACATCACCTGAAGACAGTCTGAATGTGTTTCTGCAGACCAGAGGGTCTGCTCTTTTTCAGGGACAAGCTGCTGGGCTCTACATCACCTGATTCATGAGCTCTTATCTAACTGGGATGAAAAGCTGCTCTGAGTTCTCCTGACTAAACAACATAATGTGAAAGATTAGGTAGTTTATGAAAACTATTAATACCAACTATTAATATTAATGTGAATTATTCATACTATTTTGCAATTGAATAAAGCTTTTTGCACCATCTCTGGGACAGAGTTTTAAGTTTTAAAGAGACACCTTACTGTTAACAAGATATCTCATGAACTAATGACAGGATCGTAATGAAACTTTCAGAAAATTATAAGTGGACTAATATCTTGAATTGATTAAATTTTGGGGTCAATACCACTTAAGATAACCATGAAATTAGGGACTAAAAACAAAAAACTACAAAGAATTGTCACCATCACTGTATTTGTCCTGTTGGATTACTGAAAAAAAGACTTTTAATTGTTTTATTTGACTAACTTTTAAACTTGTGCAAATAGACAATAAATAATTAAATAACCCACGCCTGGGTTTTAAGGCAGACAGGCAGGCAGGCCAGGAGTACGGAGGGGCCGGGGGTGGGGGGGGGACTTCTGTGCGACTTCGGGGCCTTTTTGGAGTCCTTGGAGGAGGTGCTGGAGAGCACTCCTGGAGGGGACCCCCTCGTTCTGCTGGGGGACTTTGGCGCTTGCGTGGGTGATGGCAGTGAGACCTGGAGAGGCGTGGCTGGGAGGAGCAGCCCCCCCGATCTGAGCCTGAGTGGTGTTTTCTTGTTGGGCATCTATGCTCATCATGGATTGTCTGTGGTGGGCACCATGTTCAGGTGTGGGGGTGTCCATGTGTGCTCTTGGCACCAGGACACACTGGGCCGTGGTTCGGTGATTGACTTTGTTGTCGTTTCGTCTGGTCTGCGGCCGAGTGTTTTGAACGGTTGGGTGGAGAGGGGGACGGAGCTGTTGGCTGGCCAGTGCCTGGTGGTGGGTTGGGTCCGTTGGTGGGGAGGATGCCGGTCGGACCTGGCAGACCCAGACGTGTGGTGGGGGTTTGCTGGGGGCACCTGTCAGAGTCTCCCGTCGGGCGGAGCTTTGGCTCGCACCAACGGGAGACCTCAAGAGCCGCAACCCACCCAGACCGCCGACACCCATTGACAGCCCCTGGAGTCCCACAGCCCACAAAGACTCGACAGGACCCCCCCCAGCCCGACAGCATCTCCCACTGTCGGTGTCCACCGACCGGCTCGAATGCCACAACCATGACAAGCATCGACAACACCACTGCCACATCTCAGGCGAGCCGCCTCGACAACGAAGGCACGGAACATGGCCCACTCGGACCCAACGTCCCCCACCTCCCCAGGAATGTGCTCGAAGCTCTTCTAGAGGTACAAGTCGAAGCCCCGTCCGAAGGAAGACTCCGACAAGATGCCAGCAAACCCCCACCACATGTCCGTATCTGCCAGGTCCAACCGGCATCCTCCCCACTAATGGAGCCAACCCACCCCCAGGCACTGGCCAGCCGACAGCACCCCTCTCCACCCGACCGTTCAAAACACTCGGCCGCAGACCAGACGAAACGACAACAAAGTCAATCACCGAACCACGGCCCAGTGTGTCCTGGCGCCAAGAGCACACATGGACACCCCCACACCTGAACATGGTGCTCGCCACAGACAATCCATGATGAGCATAGAAGCCCAACAACAAAMCACAGCTTGGGTTCAGATCGGGGGGGCTGCTCCTCCCAGCCACGCATCTCCAGGTCTCACTGCCATCACCCACGCAAGCACCGAAGTCCCCCAGCAGAACGAGGGAGTCCCCGAGTGCTCTCCAGCACCTCCTCCAAGGTCTCCAAAAGGGCCCCGAAATCGCAGGAAAGTCCCCCCCACGGCCCCTCCACGACATGCATCTTAAATATTTAGCTAGCTACCTAAATATTTAGCTTGCATCTTAAATATTTAGCTAGCCACCTAAATATTTAACTTAAATATTTAAATATTTAACTTAAATATTTAA